TGCGTGTGTGTGTGTGTGTCTGTGAGTGTGTGTGTGCTTGTGTGTGTACTTGTGTGTGTGTGTGTGTGTGTGTGTGTGCTTGTGTGTGTGTACTTGTGTGTGTGTGTGTGTGTGTGTGTTTGTGAGTGTGTGTGTGTGCTTGTGTGTGTGTACTTGTGAGTGTGTGTGTGTGTGTGTGTTTGTGAGTGTGTGTGTGTGTGTTTGTGAGTGTGTGTGTGTGTTTGTGAGTGTGTGTGTGTTTGTGAGTGAGTGTGTGTGTGTGTTTGTGAGTGCGTGTGTGTGTGTGTGTGTGTGGTGTGTGCTTGTGTGTGTGTGTGTGTGTGTGTGTGTGTGTGCTTGATTGTGTGTGTACTGTGGTGTGTGTGTGAGTGTGTGTGGTGGTGTGTGTGGGGTGTGTGTGCTTGCTTGTGTGGTGTGTACTTGTGTGTGTGTGTGTGTGTGCTGTGTTTGGTGAGTGTGTGTGTGTGTGTGTGTGTTTGTGGGGCTTGTACTTGTGAGTTGGTGTGTGTGTGTGTGTGTGGTGCTTGTTGTGGTGTACTTGTGTGTGTTGTGTGTGTCGTGTGTGTGTGTGTGTTTTGTGATGACATGTGTGTGTGTGTGGCGTGTTGTTGTAACTTAGTGAGTTTGTTTTGTTTGTTTGTGTTGTTGTGTGCTGGGCTGTTTTGTGTGTTGGTGTGTTTGTGTGTGTGTGTTAGCTGGTGTGTGCTGGGTGTGTGTGTGTGTGTGTAGTTTGTGTTGTGTGTGTGTGACTCACTGCCCTCGATGTAGTGCATTGCGTTTTGGTTGGGGTGTGTGCAGGAGCTCCCATGGAGATGTTTGACCTGATAGTAGTTGATGCCAGTTGGGTTGTTTACTAAAACACACACCAGTTAGAAGTACACAACATACACACACTACACACTACACACCAGAGAACTACATTAAATATATACATTATCATTTTATTAAATTAATCTATTCATTGTTAAAATTGCTTTTTATATTTCTACGTTTCTATTAACATATTTAATCTATTTTTCTCTCTTCATGAACTCATTCTATTTAACCTGTTTCAGTTTTTTTTATTCACTTTTCATATTTTCCAGATGTTTTTATTTACAAATTATTATTATATATATATATATATATATTTTATACTAATATTTTACTTTTACTTTTCTTTGATTTATTATTGTTTTTTATATTTTTAAATTGGGCCATTTACATATTTAATCTATAATGTCCTTCTATTCATATTTCCACATTTGTATTTATATGTTATTTCTGACCTGAAGCGGTTCCTCTCGCTGAACATCAGGGTCTGATTGTCCTCCTGAAGTCTGATCTCTGCATGGGAGCTGCTGAGGTTCTTCAGGAGGTCCGAAACCGACCAGACCAGGACCCAGTCCCCCAAAATCTGTAGACCAGCAGGGAATAATTAACATAGATAAAATGTTTTATGGTCTTATTTTAACAATGTGATCACATGACTCCTTCTGACTGACTAGAATGAGTTGACCAAAAGAAAAAAGTTGACCAAAAACATTTTGACAAAAAAAAAAAGTAAACTACAAAAATTAAAAGTCAACTACAAAAAAAAGTTGTCCAAAAGAAAGTTGACTAGTTGACAATAGCTGCCCACTGCTCCTGGTGCTAGACTCCTGGTGCTAGACTCCTGGTGCTAGACTCCTGGTGCTAGGATGGGTTAACCGAAGAGAACAAATGTCACTGTGTGCTCTGCATGTGAGACCATTAAAGAGGGTTTCATCCCTCCCATTCTTTCTTTCTTTCTAAAACCTCTTTAGTAACATACGTAGTATATATACATTTCCTTGACAAGAACTAAACAACTCTTCGTATTCTGCACAAAAATGTGTGTTATCGTGAACCAAAAGTCGTGATAGAGGCTTGCTTGTCAACATCTGGGTATTTCTGCACTGGTGGGCCATGTTAACAATAGCGTGTCCCTGTGACGCTCTGAGGGGTGAAACCGTGTCCTCCTGACCTCTCACAGCGTGGAGCAAAGTGACACACGTCTGTCCTGATACTGGGTTGATTTTATCATCGACAAATATTTGCATACTTTGCAAACAAAGTGCCACAATAAAGACAACTGTTAAACACAGAGAAATAACAAATCCAAATAAACTAATGAGAGCAGAGACGCCTCCTGCAGACAGACGTCAGTGTCCTGATGCGTTCAAGTTCATACTTTAATAGGAATTACCCCCTTTCTCCTGAAGGGAGACTTTTGGGCGTGTTAGCACCTGTGAGACACCGTAAAATAAATGATGGGTCTCACCTGCTGCAGGTCGTCTTCGGCAAGCATCTTTAGGACCTGGCAGTGATCGGGGTCCGCAGGCTTTTGATCCGTGTGATTGTGATCGTGATCGTGATCGTGATGGTGATCGTGATCGTGATGGTGGTCTGGCTTCGCGTTAGCAACAGCGAGCAGCAGCAGCAGCAGCGCTCCCTTTAAGACTTTCATCCTGAGACACAAATCAAAAAACCAAATGCACCCTCTGGTATCTGTGAAGACACTGATCCAGGAGACGGCTGAACGGTTTATATACCGAGCTCCAGAGACCCCGAGAGACCCCGAGCCAGGACAAAGTCTGTGTGCTCAGAGTGTTATTGAACTCTGATATAACTCCTGGCCCACTTTCTTAATGTGTAAAAAGGTTAAAAACACAGCGAGGCGGACAGCCATGGTCTCACGTCTCACATCTTATATCATATAGCAGTTTGTTTGTATGTATGTATTTGTCTATAGATGTTGCAACTATGCAGACCTTTAGCAATACTGTATGTAACTATGGTCATGCTAATAAAGCTGTTGAATTGAATTGATTTAAAATGAATTGAATTGAAATGAATTGAATTGAAATGAATTGAATTGAATTGAATTAAAATGAATTTAATTTAATTGAATTGAATTAAAATGAATTGAATTTAATTGAATTGAATTAAAATGAATTGAATTGAATTGAAATGAATTGAAATGAATTGAATTGAATTGAATTGAATTGAATTGAAATTAATTGAATTGAATTGACTGCAGAGAAACACTGAACATCTGAAACATAAAATACAGCAGGAAGTTGTTACAACACATCTCTTAACAATAAACAATGTTTTTATATCTGCATAATTTCTGAAGCTGCAGAGTTTCTGGTGATGATGGAGAGGTCTGTCCCTGCAAGGCCACCGTAGAAACCGTTTCAAGATTATATTTGGTGTTACTTTTAAAAATAAAACTCTAAAATAATCAAATATAAAAAATTGAGTTCACTTCATATTTTGGTGTGTTTTGTATTTTATTCCTATACCATATTTTTTATTTTAATAAAAGTATGTTTATAAATGTTAAATGTTTAAATATGATGTGGCTATTTTTTGTATTATTATTTTTTATTTTGCAGCACACGTTTTGTAGTTCCTGCATTAATTGTACAAACAGCATTAATCTTATTAACATATTTTAGGGTTTCATTATCGAATTATCTCGTGGAATAAATGGGTTAATAGAAGGATTAAGCAACATAAAAATATCTGTGTTTTTTAATCATGAACGTGAACTGGAGGTTTTTCCATGAAAGCTGCCGGTTAAAGTCTAACGGACAAACACACCAACGTCCGCCTACACACACTGACAAACAAACACACCAACGTCCGCCTACACACACTGACAAACAAACACACACACACACACACACACACACACACACACACACACACACACACACACACACACACACACACACATAGACACACATAGACACACACACACACGCACACACACACATAGACACACACACACACACACACACACACAGACACACATACACACAAACACACACAGACACACACACACATACACACACATAGACACACAAATTCACACAGACACACACACACATAGACACACACACACACACACACACACACAAACACACACACACACACACACACATAGACACACATAGACACACACACACACAAACACATAGACACACACACACATAGACACACACACACACACACACACATGCACACACACGCACACACCCACACCACACCCCCACACACCCCCCCCCCACACACCACACATAGGACACACATAGACACACACACACACCCCACACACACACACATAGGACACACACACACACACACACACACACTAACACATGCACACACATAGACACACATAGACACACACACACACACACACACACACACATAGACACACATAGACACACACACACACACACACACACACTAACACATGCACACACACACACACACACACACACACACACACACACACACACACACACAACCACACACACACACACACACATCGACACACATAGACACACACACACACACACCACACACACTAGACACACCACACACACACACACACACACACACACACACACACACATAGACACACACACACACACAGACACACATAGACACACACACACACACACACACACAGACACACATAGACACACAAACACACACAGACACACACACACATACACACACATAGACACACAAATACACACAGACACACATAGACACACATAGACACACACACACACACACACACACATAGACACACACACACATAGACACACACACACACACACACACATACACACACATAGACACACAAATACACACATACACACACACACATAGACACACACACACACACACACACACACACACACACACATAGACACACATAGACACACACACACACACACACACACACACACACACACACACACACACACACACACACACACACACATCCAAAGTCAAACCAGGTTTTGGCATCTTATACTCCATTTATACGAGACGGCTTGGTGTCATTGGTAGGTAGTGATGTCAGAGTTCCAATCAAAATCTTACGGGACACAGGGGCTTTTGACTTCTATATTGTTGACTCTGTTTTGCCGTTGTCTGGTGAAAGTGACACAGGTGACACAGTTCTGAGTTGGGGGATGGGATTAAAAGTTCTTCCTATTCCTGTTCATAAGGTGTATATTGACTGTGACCTTGTTAAAGGTGAAGTAGCTGTTGGTGTACGTTCAGCTTTGCCAATCGAGGGGATACATTTTATTCTGGGCAACGGTTTGGCAGGTGGCAGAATCTAGACTGATGTTCCCCTGCGCCTTTAGTGACTGGTGGTCTGATTGAGTCTGGGTTTGAGGAGAGCTCTACAGTGGTGCCAGAGGTCACGTCCTCCTGCGTGATCCTGTGTGCTATGGCCAAAGCTATGCTGTGTAGAAGCCAGAAGGCCAGGCATTGCTCCACTGGTCGGGGTGGTCGGGGTGGTCGTGGTGGCGGCGGCTTTGATGGTGGTCGTGGTGGCGGCGGCTTTGATGGTGGTCGTGGCGGCAGCGGCAGCAGGGGTCGAGGACGTGGCAAGGAGATGTTCTGTTATCGGTGTGGAGATCAAGGACATTTGGCCAGGGACTGTGACCAAACGGAGGATGTGTGCTACAACTGCAACAAACCAGGCCACATGGCTCGTGACTGTGGGCATGCCAACGACCGGAGGTGCTACTCCTGCGGGGGGCTTGGTCACATCCAGAGACGTTGTGAGAAGGTGGTATATTGTAATTAGGGTTCGTTGAGACGGGGTGCCAGATGTATGTTTTGTTTTCTATGACTTTTTGTTTTTGTTTGGGATGGGGTTGGTTCGTTGTGCCGGTGGTCCGGGGGACACCGACTTTAAGGGGGGGGGTGTGACGACCCCTGCTTTAAGGTCTCCTGTGGTGTGTGTGTATGGCCCTTTAATGTTCCTCCTCTGCTTGTGTCCGTCTGATTGAGGACACCTGACGCCCTGATTGAGGACACCTGACGCCCTGATTGAGGACACCTGACGCCCTGATTGAGGACACCTGACGGCCTGATTGAGGACACCTGACGCCCTGATTGGGGACACCTGACGCCCTGATTGAGGACACCTGACGCCCTGATTGAGGACACCTGACGGCTGGCAGAGGATTAAGAGGCCTGAGCCAGAGTCTCGATCTCTCTCTCCCGCAGAGGACCTGACCTCGGAGCAGCCACGTCGCTTCGTCTTTTGTTTTTCCTTTGTGTTAGTTTTTGGTTTACGTTAAGTTTCTGTTAATAAATATATTTTTCATATATGTTCTCGTCCTTCCCACGCTTTTTGTTATGGCTAAGAGCCAGGCCATGACAGTATGTATGTATTTGTGTATAGATGTTGCAACTATGCAGAGCTTTAGCAATACTGTATCTAACTATGGTCATGCTAATAAAGCTGTTGAATTGAATTGAAATGAATTGAAATGAATTTAATTGAAATGAAATGAATTGAATTGAAATGAAATCAATTGAAATGAATTGAATTGAATTGAATTGAAATGAATTGAAATGAATTGAAATGAATTGAATTGAATTGAAATGAATTGAATTTAAATGAATTGAATTGAATTGAAATGAATTGAAATGAATTGAAATGAATTGAAATGAATTGAATTGAAATGAATTGAATTGAATTGAAATTAATTGAATTGAATTGACTGCAGAGAAACACTGAACATCTGAAACATAAAATACAGCAGGAAGTTGTTACAACACATCTCTTAAGAATAAACAATGTTTTTATATCTGCATAATTTCTGAAGCTGCAGAGTTTCTGGTGATGATGGAGAGGTCTGTCCCTGCAAGGCCACCGTAGAAACCGTTTCAAGATTATATTTGGTGTTACTTTTAAAAATAAAACTCTAAAATAATCAAATAAAAATACAAAATAATCAAATATAAAAAATTGAGTTCACTTCATATTTTGGTGTGTTTTGTATTTTATTCCTATACCATATTTTTTATATTAATAAAAGTATGTTTATAAATGTTACATGTTTAAATATGATGTGGCTATTTTTTGTATTATTATTTTTTATTTTGCAGCACACGTTTTGTAGTTCCTGCATTAATTGTACAAACAGCATTAATCTTATTAACATATTTTAGGGTTTCATTATCGAATTATCTCGTGGAATAAATGGGTTAATAGAAGGATTAAGCAACATAAAAATATCTGTGTTATAATCATGAACGTGAACTGGAGGTTTTTCCATGAAAGCTGCCGGTTAAAGTCTAACGGACAAACACACCAACGTCCGCCAACACACACTGACAAACAAACACACCAACGTCCGCCTACACACACTGACAAACAAACACACCAACGTCCGCCTACACACACTGACAAACAAACACACACACACACACACACACACACACACACACACACACACACACACACACACTCACACACACACACACGCACACACACACACACACACACACTCACACATACACACACACGCACACACACACACACACACACACACACACACATGCACACACACACACACACACACACACGCACACACACGCACACGTAAGCTAAAGGAGGCTACTGTAATGTTGGGCTATAAAGGAACTACAGCACGGTCACATGACTTCACGTCACCACCGCTAAGCTAAATGAGGCTAATGTTGGGCTATAAAGGAACTACAGCACGGTCACATGACTTCACGTCACCACCGCTAAGCTAAATGAGGCTAATGTTGGGCTATAAAGGAACTACAGCACGGTCACATGACTTCACGTCACCACCGCTAAGCTAAAGGAGGCTAATGTTGGGCTATAAAGGAACTACAGCACGGTCACATGACTTCACGTCACCACCGCTAAGCTAAAGGAGGCTAATGTTGGGCTATAAAGGAACTACAGCACGGTCACATGACTTCACCTCAGCACCGCTAAGCTAAAGGCGGCTAATGTTGGGCTATAAAGGAACTACAGCACGGTCACATGACTTCACCTCACCACCGCTAAGCTAAAGGCGGCTAATATTGGGCTATAAAGGAACTACAGCACGGTCACATGACTTCACGTCACCACCGCTAAGCTAAAGGAGGCTAATGTTGGGCTATAAAGGAACTACAGCACGGTCACATGACTTCACGTCACCACCGCTAAGCTAAAGGAGGCTAATGTTGGGCTATAAAGGAACTACAGCACGGTCACATGACTTCACATCATCACCGCTAAGCTAAAGGAGGCTACTGTTGGGCTATGAAGGAACTACAGCACGGTCACATGACTTCACGTCACCACCGCTAAGCTAAATGAGGCTAATGTTGGGCTATAAAGGAACTACAGCACGGTCACATGACTTCACATCATCACCGCTAAGCTAAAGGAGGCTACTGTTGGGCTATGAAGGAACTACAGCACGGTCACATGACTTCACGTCACCACCGCTAAGCTAAAGGAGGCTAATGTTGGGCTATAAAGGAACTACAGCACGGTCACATGACTTCACGTCACCACCGCTAAGCTAAAGGAGGCTAATGTTGGGCTATAAAGGAACTACAGCACGGTCACATGACTTCACGTCACCACCGCTAAGCTAAAGGAGGCTAATGTTGGGCTATAAAGGAACTACAGCACGGTCACATGACTTCACATCATCACCGCTAAGCTAAAGGAGGCTACTGTTGGGCTATGAAGGAACTACAGCACGGTCACATGACTTCACGTCACCACCGCTAAGCTAAATGAGGCTAATGTTGGGCTATAAAGGAACTACAGCACGGTCACATGACTTCACATCATCACCGCTAAGCTAAAGGAGGCTACTGTTGGGCTATGAAGGAACTACAGCACGGTCACATGACTTCACGTCACCACCGCTAAGCTAAAGGTGGCTAATGTTGGCCTATAAAGGAACTACAGCACGGTCACATGACTTCACGTCACCACCTCAAAGCTAAAGGAGGCTAATGTTGGGCATGACGATCCACAGTTTGAAAACCTTCTCATTAGGTAATAAATAAAACCACACGTTTGATGTTTTGAGTCACTTTTCTTTATTTCCTCCCCTTCACTTATTCATCACCATCGATATTCAGTTCAATCGGCATCTTAACGCCCTCGCCTTCAGCGCAGAATCCTGCAGACAGAGAGAGAAACAGTGAGATCAGTTATCTGTGAAATCTCTGTTTCATCGTTTAATCAGGTGATTTTAAAGCACCGTTCTTGGAGTCGTAGACGAACTGTGGTTCTCCGGAGAACCCGAGGCAGCTCGCCTGCTTCTTGAAATCTTCAAAGTCCGAGTCCTTCAGGGTCGCCTCTCTGCCTGCAGACAGAAACACAGAGACGCTTTAATACCTAATTTTAGGAAAGGATTTCAGCATGACTTCTACTTGTATTGAGTTTTAAAATAATTGTGTTAGTACTTTTAAATAATGTCAGCACTTCTTCCAGAATTGTAACTTCTATCTATCTATCTGTCTGTCTGTCTGTCTGTTTGTCTGTCTGTCTGTCTGTCTGTCTGTCTGTCTGTCTGTCTGTCTGTCTGTCTATCTACACTGTAAAAAAAAAATGTTTTTTAGTTTTTCCCCAAAAAAATTACAGTTTTTTATTGTATTTCATAATTACAGGAAATCATATTCAATTTACAAGAATAAACGGTTTATTGAAATGTGTCGTGTATTTTAACAAAAAAAAACTGAAGAAATGGAATACATTATTTATCTGTTTTTTAGCAGTTTTTAAATGCGAATTTAACAAAACTAACCGTAAAAATAAATGATTTTCTGTTGGCAAAATTAGCTGCATTTTCTGTAATTTTACTAAAAAATACTTTTGTTATGGCTATATATAACTGTCAAATACATAACAAATACTGTTAATACTCATTTAAAAAATGTATAATTGCAAGAAAATATATGAGTAAAGAAAGAAATATTTTGTAATTTTGCTTAATTTAACCACTACTTTACATTGATAAACTGAAAAAACACAGGTATTGACTATCCTATTATAGTAAAAAAAACTACATTTTAAAGGGCCCATGTCATGGCCATTTCCACTGATCATAATTACATTGTTGAGGTATACTAAAATAGATTTATACTGTGCAATTTTCCAAACTCACATTGGTTTCGCATACAGCATCTCTGTCAAGCATGTGTATTCAGCAGTATTCACTTTCTCCACTAAACGACTCGTTGGAGCTCTTGCCCCCCCCTCCCTGTGAGCCTAGTGTGCTCCGATTGGTCAGCTCGGCCACTCGTTCTGATTAGTCAACCACCAGAGAGGCTGCGCCCATGTCTAACAGTGCTTTTCCCGGCTGCTCTCAGCGTAACATCAGTCTTATCATGGCATCGGCACAGCCGTATATTTTATATACATATATATTTTTAACTGTTGTTATAGAAGAGTGTGACGGCCCCAGGGCCTTTGTCTTACGATGGGGTGGAGCTGAAGAGGCTAATCAGCACGATCACGGACACCTCCGGACACAGTCTCTCTCCAAAGCGGCTGCAGGAAGACTAACTCTGCGATCCTCTCAACCACCTATCTCTGCATTTACCACAATAAATGTGCCGTGGTTTTGTAAACTCGTGTATGTCTCCTTGTCTTTGTGGCCTACGAGCCGCTCATAACAAAGAGTAAGTTATTTTTACCCGTTATAAACTACTACTGTTTGATGAGAAATCAAATCATGGTTTGCTATATATGAATTCAGGGAAGAAAGGATAGGCCTACTAAGTATTTCCATTAAACTTTATTTTTAG